TTGCTTTTCACCGACTGTGTGAGGTTACCGGAGCCCAAACCCCCCCTTCCCCTGATTCTAGAGAAAGGACCTAAAGAGCAAACGCACTTGACGCACTTGTGACTCTAGAGTAGCAGCATAGACCCATGGACGGCGGTAGTTACTTATCAGCAGGCGATCCCTCTGTTCTTTTGTCCTACATACCACAAAAAAGTTTAGGAGTTATAGGAGGAAACTTCAAAGTAAAACATTAAATTAAAATTACTTGTCAAATGAATTCTACCGCCGTGGAGTTAAAAACACGCCTATATTTCAACACTTCAATGTCATAGGACATTAATTTAGCGATCATTCCGAGAGATTTCACCCCCTCAGTCAGTATATAACTATTATTTATTAGCGCAAGCGAAACGCTTGGCGCCATCTACAGGCTGGTGTAGAGTTAGAAAAGTATAGACAGACAGAGAGGTGAGACTTTTTTCTTTTTTATACTCACAAGCGGACTAAGTTATGGTTTCCTTTCGCAACACTACTATGGGTAAACTCCTTCCCCCTTAATGAAACTCTAGCCACTACCTTACGTTGGATAGACGAAATGTTGAAGCTAGTTACAGCTAGTTGGGGTTGGTGAGATATCAGCGAATAAAAGTAATTCGGTATTCATGAATGGCGTACTTTTCTTTTGGATTTTCCGATGCTTGTCAAATCTACTAAATGTATTATGTATTATCAACTCCAGTATTAGCCAGCGTGGTTCTTGATTGTTTTTTTTTTAAAGTGTGGAGACCCCCTGGGGCCGTCACCCCACCGGGATTAGCGCCGGGACAGTGTGTCGAAACTGTGAGCCTGAAACAGGAGGAATCCGAACTAATGCTTAATATTTGTACCTTTTCTCTTGTGTTTAATATTGGGTGTATTACTATTTACGAGTGATATTGCAATCTAGTGTGAAATTAGGACTAATTAGGGTAAGAGAGATCGTCTGTAATCTTAGTGGTTATTGCTTCTGACTACTGAACCAGAAATAGTTAGGTCGATTTTAACTCAAAACTAATAATGATAAAAAAAAGATTGTCTAAACCTTACTTAACTCTATGCTAAAAATCATGCATTTTCCATTGTTCTTACTCATTGAAACTTCGCTCAAAAAGCGTTACATTATCCACATAGGCTTTTATGACAATGTAATAAAGTCTAATTTTGGTAAAATTGTTATATTTCTTGACGGTAGTTCGGGGCAGGCTTTGTTCTATTTACGCTGAAAGCTAATGTGGCGCCCTCAGTGAATGGGCTGCTAAGTTAGGGCTGAATTGTCGCATTCCTAATATTAAATCCCTGATTTCGCATTAAACAAAATACAATACACTACATACTACAAACTAGGTATGTATTTCTCTTGTAATCTTTATAGTGTAGTTTTTCTAATAAATCAATTTGGATGTTTGAATAATTGAAAAAATTATAGAAACTAGCACTTTTAATGAACAGTTAAAATGTAGGTGTAGTTTACAATATTTATTTATTTACTTAAGTACGCTGGAGTGCGTTACTGCATATAACAGCAGCCACATTATGTAAAGCAGCTTCTAGACTACCCATGGATCAAAGAGAACCTGGAAGACATAACATAGAGACTTTAGAACTAAGAGTTACACCGTGCTGAGATCTAACATGAATGGTTGTGACGCCACTTAGACCACTGAACTATTAGCAATGCCTACTACTGATATCATAAAAATATCGTAACATTTGTTATTTAACAATCTCATATAATAAATGCGAAAATATCTCTGTTTGTCTGTCTGTTACGCTTTCACGGCTAAAGCCGAATCCTAGTTCATTCGAAACAGACATCTTTTAAAACTGTTTTGGTATTGGTATCTGTTTTTTAATTGTAAATTCATTACAGAATATATAAAATTTATTCGACACAGTAATTAATAATATTAGTAAGCTGTCGTTTAAAGATGCCTAAACGTTTTTGAGACTGTACACAAAGGGAGATTAATAACGCACAACGTTAACACATTATAATTTTAACACAATAAAGAACTTTAAAATCATCCTAAATTCCACATTTTGAACTCCTGAAAATCATCTACCGTATAGCATATTTCAAATAGCGCCCTATAGGGGGCGCTCCGGGCGCATTTCCGGCTAATGACAGTGGATAAACGATGTCACATCCGGTAAGCTTTGTACCGGATCGCTCCATTTCCCCGCGATGTAGACTTTAGACAAGTTTAATGGGACCCTTTGTTAAATATACGAGTATAGACAATTCTATTTTAATTTTTCTTCATTTTAATGGGACGTCTCAGCTTTTCCTGTTTTTTTTGTAATTTCTGTGTTTATGGGATCGATTGCATTTCTCTAAACCTTTGATTTAAAAAAATTGCCTACGAACTGGTTGAAGTAGCTTTTTTAGGGGTGAACTACGCCCGGCAACTTCACCCCCGTGTATTTCGGTAACCGTAATCCTTTTTTCGCCTGGTTTATATAGCATAAGATTTTTGCCACCTCTTCAACAATAATTGTTAATTTACATAGAACCATCATGAATTTTACACCTAATCCTTCCTAAGGAATCTATCTATAAAACCGTACAAAAATCTGTTGAGTAGTTTTTGAGTTTATCACGTTCACACAGACAGACTGACGCGGCCGGGTGACTTTTCTATACAAATAAATAAAATTGAAGTGTCTGTTTGTAATATCAAAATAACAGTTTTTTTCATGTTGTCTGTTTGTTCCGGGTAATCTTTTAAACGGCTGGACAGATTTTGATAATATTTTACTACCTGATAGCCGTCTATATTAGGTGTTACTTAGGCTATTTTTCCTCTCAGAAAACCCTAGAATATTTTGCCCAGTACCAGAATCGAACCCGAGGCCTCGTGGAGTGCAGTCGCGTATCGCTCAGACAGCACTTTTCAAATTCCATACCAGCTAGTTTTATAATATGTGAGGATGAATGATTAAAATCGGTGCAGTATTGACAGAGTAAATCGACTTCACAGAAACAAATCTTTTCTCTGGGTCTTTAGTAACTTAGTGACTTGTTATCCGTGAAGTGATGGATTAAAAATACGGAGTGTCACCATCCCTATTCATCCCGTGGGTGTCGTAAGAACCGACTAAAGTAGCAAACTACGAAAGACAACTGCACTGCAAAGAGAAGGATAATTTGACATAAACCCTATACCAACCCGTCTGGCCAGCGCGGTATAGTAGGCCAAAATCTCCTTTCTAATGAGAGGCCTATGTCCAGCAGTAGACCATTAAAGATGATGATGTGATATGAAGCAACTCAGTGAAACAAAATAAAAAAATTGCTTAACACAGGTTTACTGTGAGGCCGGGGTATTACTCCGGTCGAGCTGGTCCACATATGCTGAATCATGGCTCTGCCACGGTTATGAACAATATATCTCCTATCCAGTGCAGTGCACCCTGGTAAATATTTTGTAATAGATGCTAAAAAAATTTTTTTTAACTCATAAAATGTTTTTTTACTAGTTTTCTCGAAAAACTTGCATACTGGAAGGTTTACTCCATGATCAACTGATCATGATTGCCATCATAAAAACATGATAATGTACTCATCATCGCAAATGGAGTGTGTTCAAGTAGACGGAACCATTAAGACGCCTAAAATGGCCACTCAAAGCACCTAATTATAGTCGAGTCGTTAATTTCGCTCGCGAAATCAAGAAAATACCCATAACTTACCAGTTGGAGGGTAGAAATAATTAAAAAATATAAAATGGCGTCTTTTAATGACTCGCCGAGCTCAGACTCGACGTTTTTTTATTTTGATTCTTTTATAGTAAATGTTATTCTGAAATTATTTAGCACATTACTTTCCAAACAAGTTGACGTTTCAAAAATATCATATGATTTTGTAGGTGTAGTCGAGTAGCACCAGGGACTTCGTTTCTAGGGTACACCTGGTTCCCCGGCTATTAGTACCCGAGACGGCGTGCGGTTTTAGTCGGTTCGAGTCCGACATGTCACCGATAGGTCGTATCCGAGGGGATTTCCGCACGGAAAAAAAAAATGGTGTAGTAAACTTTTAAACGGTGATGCTCATAATAATAACTAATCTATAATTATATGTAAATGCAATTTAAATTCAAATTCAAATTACAAATATATTTATTTCATAAAAAAGACGTCTTTTATGTAGACTCTAAAGTCTAAGATCAACACACACACAATAGCAACAATCTCTGTTTTGTCAAATAGGAACATAAATTTACGAGAAATTATACTTATACAAAATCTATGGTATGCCTGTGCCGATCTACGGGGTTGAGCCTTATGAGAAGAAAGGGCAAACAAACTCATGGCCACTCTTTTGCAATTTACCTACAGATAAATACAATGGCATGGCATCATTAAATATACCATGTGTTGTTCCGATGTGTGTGCGTTATTAAGGACTATAAGGTAAAAATACACTAAAGATAAAAATAGGATTAGGAAAAAAGATCAAATAAAAGAGAAAGTAAAGTGATACATAAAAAATAGAAAATAATACCTAATAATAAGAAACACCCTAGCGAACATCACATAAGAAAAAATAATGTTGGTGCATGTTTCAAAAACTCAAATAGTTATGCACCAATTGAGCTGAAATTTTGTCACGATATACAACCCGCTTCAAGGATTGTTTTTACCTATTTTTCGCGTTAGTTTTGTTCTTCATTTCCTCCTTAGCATTCAGGATCATTAATGGTTTATACTAAAGTCTTATTAATACAAATAACTTAATAAAGAATATTCATAAAAACTTGTTGATACATGTACTTACTTGCATACTTTATATGATATAAACCGTGTGACTTACTTATTTTTATAATATGTATGCAATAGTTTACAAAGAACATCATTGTTAAAAAAATACAAATTTTGCAAATTTATATAGTTATAATTTCGTTGCCGTTTTTCCTAAAGTATAATCTAAACGTGAGTAAGTGAAGTGGTCAAATTACTAAAAGCGTTTTCTATTGCTTCAGGAACTTCTGGAAAAGCGCATCAAGCAACTGGAAGCACAATTGGAAGAAGAGAAAAGAAGGACGCAGAGGGAACGGATGGCTGTCACCAAACTACAGAACAAGCTTATAAAGGTTAGTTTATTCTGCTTAATAAGAGTTATTTATATCGAATTTCTATGTTATTTGCAGAAAATGAAACTTATCTTTATCGAAAGATTTTGAAAAGATGGTTACTTAGGTTGTATGTAATAAAAATAATAATCTCACACATTTTCACATACAGTCGTCTGATCCCAAACTAGGCAGAGCCTCTACTATGGTAACCAGACTGTTGAAAAATATACTTAATCATTTCTGTATACGTACATATTATAGATAAACAACACCCAGACACAGAATAAATGATCGTGCTCATCACACAATATTTGTCCTGGGTGGGAATCGAACCCACGACCTCCGGCTTACCAGTCAGGATCACTAACTACTAGACCACAGGTTATATTTAATAGTATCGATAAACTTACGGAGAAGTTATATTTTTTGTTTGTGGATATTCCACCCAGACAGAACAAATGATCATGCTCATCACACAATTTTTGTCCTTGGTAGGAATCGAACCCACGACCTCTGGCTTCCCTAACCACGACTGGCAAAACTTAAGTCGTAATGTAAACAAGGTATTTTTTCTAGATACTTTTATCGGTTCTGGACTTATGTGATCTATATACCTTTTTTTTTTTCCTTGCGGAAATCCCCTCGGATACCACCTGTCGGTGGCATGTCGGACTCGAACCGACTAAAACCGCACGCCGTCTAGGATACTAATAGCCGGGGAACCAGGTATACCCTAGAAAGGAAGTCCCTAGATGAAGGACACGTAGGTACAGTCAGACACAAAAAATATTACTTGCTTTCTTCGCCATTTGTAAATTAAATTGATACAGAATTCTCAATCTCTTCCCCAATCAATCACCCTTTATCATTGGAAAACAAAGCATAGCTGATTGAAACCTTTTAAAGGATTTGTCTGGAATGAGAGACAATGATTGAATTTTTCGTTTGCACAGTATCCAGGGGGTTGGGTAATACCGCCGTTAAATATCTCTGAAATGGAACAATTGTATTGTGTCGGCTCTTCCGTCTTCCTCTGTAGATACCTGAGTTAAGGGGATGATACTTTATTTAAATTATATGAAATATATTAGCTTTGGCCACTAGTTTCGCAAGCGTACAGTTAAATTTCAAGTTCGTTTTTTTATTTAAACTAAGTTTGCCTTTGTACTGTTAATGAATAAAGTAAAAAACAAAAACATTGAACTAATAAAAAAACAACACCTTATTTGCTTCGTGTAAGCTTTTTAAATATATGAATGATTATATTTTGGCACATATTACTCAGCCTTGTGTAGACATAGAAAAACATATAAAGGGATTTTATTTATATACAGGGTGGCGCAATAGAACGTGCATATTGCATCATCTTTTTTCGCGGGGTAGAAAGTGCGCGGGCGGGGGGAGCCTGCATCGTTGGGTAGGCGGGCTCATGGAGTTTTAGTCACTATGAGTCACTTCGACGGGAAGCGTCGCGCATTTTGCGTGCGCGCATTTTACGAGAACTCTCGTTCATACATCGTTACTAGGCGTTTATATTGTTCTGAATATGGACTACGGCAAATTAGTAAAGCTCCGAGTGCTAATTTAATTAAAATATGGGTACAGCGTTTTGAAGAGACTGGTTCAATGTTTAAACCACAAGCAAAAGGTTGTCCAAGAACATCTAGCACCGACGACAATATTGAGAGAGTTATGCAGTCTGTACGAGGAGATCCACAAATGTCTACTCGTAAGAGATCGTCTGTCTTACACTTATCGCGACGAAGTTTGCAACGAATTTTAAACTTGGATCTTAAACTGCATCCTTACAAGCTGCAGTTAACACAAGAATTGAAAGAGTCTGACTTCGGAGCAAGGCTCGCATTTGCTAATGAAATGCTTAATCGATTTTCCAATTTTGACAATATCCTTTTCTCAGATGAGGCCCACTTCCATATCAATGGGTTCGTAAACCGTCAAAATTGTCGTTACTGGAACAGTGAGAATCCCAAACTCAAGCACCAGAAACCACTGCATAGTCCTTAAGTGACAGTATGGGCAGCAATCTCTGGTAGAGGAATAATTGGACCGTTTTTCTTTGAAAATGCGCGGGGGCAAAACGTCACTGTTAATACCGAACGCTATGTTGCGATGTTGGAAGGTTTTTTGGCTCCAGAGCTTGAAAATTCAAGAATAGTGAATTCTAGGACTTGGTTTCAACAAGACGGAGCTACCTGTCACACATCAAATGACTCCATGGCGGTTGTGAAACAGATGTTCCCTGGCAGACTGATTTCGAAAAGAGGTGATATCCCATGGCCCCCACGTAGTCCAGACGTGACGCCTCCTGACTTTTTTTTGTGGGGATACCTCAAGAACAAAGTCTACAGTAATAATCCGAAAAACAACGATCAGCTCAAGGAGAATATCCGTGGTGAAATGGCAGCAATTACACCAGCATTACTGAAGAAAGTTTTCAATAACTTCCGTTTGCGATTAGAGGAGTGTCGTCGTAGAGAGGGTCATCATTTAGACGATGTTATTTTTAAAAAATAAACTTCAGTTATTTCTTAATAATACCTCAGTTTTATTTTAACTATACCTTTTGTATTTATTTTCTAATCAATATTTTAAATATGCACGTTCTATTGCGCCACCCTGTAGAATAGGAAAGCATTTTATAGAAACACAACACAAGGATAATATGTAGATTTTTAAATGTAATGTGTACTATATTGTCATTGTCAGAAATAAATTATTATAATTAGTATTATTTTGGGCATAATTCTATTTGACATAAAATTTCGCAAACGTACAATTTTACTGCCGAAAATATAATTAAAATGAACTAATACAACTAGCAGCGATCCTAAACAAGAAATATTTTCTTACAGAAAATACAGGGCAACTGTACCTTAACTGACTGACACTTGTCAATATTAGGCTTCTATTAATTAAACCGTCCCCTAAAACTGTCGATCCGAGGAATTTCGTATCCAGTATCATAGAGTAAAACATTTTGTACAGATATGCATCATCATACATGGAGATTGATGATGCTCTATTTCTACAGGAAAAAATAATAATTGTTCGAAGATTTTATATCTAATTACAAGGTGCTTCCTTTTTATATATATTTTGTCTTGTATTTACTTTTTTACACTATTTTATAATGCCAAAAGTCTACAGCTGTAACTAAGAAAATGAACCTAAATAGTTTTTTGTTTGTTTGATTAAACGCGATAATTTACAAAACTGCAATAGGATTCAAAAATATGTAAATGTTGGATATAGAATTGCCCGTTGAAAGTTATGACTTCATAAGTTGTATAAGCACTAACTTTAAACGACTACCTAACACTACACTAACACTATAAACGCTGTGACACTGCGGGGTATGACTTTGTTTTTTGTACTCTCTTTGTTTTTAGATATACTTAAATAGATGATTAACATAATAAAATTATTAATAGATTTGATGTGTTGCTGTTGAAAAACCGCTTGATAAAAATTAACAAATTCGCAAATGAAAAGGATTTGCACGACGCACATTTAAGAATAAGTTACCTGTCTGACTTCTTTCTTTACTCTTTGCTTAATCCTTTTAGTTGTTCAATTAGAATTGGTATTAATAAAGTTCAGTATTTTTACTCAGTCTACTTTCATATTTAAGCGGCAGAAATTACCTACAACTTGTTTAAAACTATAAAACTAATGTTTTAGAGTTTCAAGTTTTGGAATACGAGTATCACCACAAGTTTGAATTGTTGTTGAAATTTAATGAACAGTTTTTTTTGGGTTTTAATTCGCACTTTAAAATGTCCCGTTTAATATAAACAACGAATAGTTTAAACTTAAGAATAGAATAGAATATAATAGAATAATATGTTTTTATTTCATAAAGCAAAGCATACAAAAATAAAACAAAAGTTAAAAACAACATACACAAAGAAACTAAAAAATCAATTAAGGTTTGATTACGGCAACATCTTTCATTTCTGACATGATACGTCAATATGCCACGTATCCAACCACGCGTCTATAAAATTTTACTTATAATAACTATGTTAGTACTTATCAACTAATACTTATCAACCTGTGTACCATAAAAAACCTTTAATGTTGCTGAGAATTGTACGCCGTGCTTCAGAAAATAGGTGGACCCTCAGTGTACACTGTGTTGGATAGATGCCACCTCAGTTCTGATTTTCAGTGCCCGCAAGAATAAGCAGTTTTCCATTGTAGAATTAATATATCAAGCTTGAAGGAATGAAAAGCTACAGTATTTCTTCTGTTACCAATGTTTCATATAGTATATATTTGTGAACGTACCAATCCGTCTCGTTGAAAAAGTAGTCCCAAACGACTTGCAAAGTCCTCTGATTCGTTGATAATCGATAGACAGAACAAAACAAATCGCTCAGCGAACAATTTGGCGCAGGCAATCAACGCCTGAATTCCCAACAGATTGGATACGGCGGGTTTCAGCATAAAGGTAGCAAGTATGATGTTTGTTTGCACAAAATAAATATTATCCAACTAGACACGAATGGAGCAGTATGTTTTTTTTGGTGACTGTACATGGATAAAGTTGTCAAAGGAGTTTTGGAATGTCAATACAAATACATTTTGATAGAAATAAAAACAATTGATTGATTGATTGTTTGTTTAAAGTTCTCTCGCATTTACTAGCTACACAATATCGGTGATGTATGAAAGTTTATCGACGCGTTTTTGCACTGAATAAAAGTCGTGTACTGTAATTCAAGTTTGGATTTTTTATTAACTAAAACTAATGTTAGTTATAATTATATAATAATAACTTCACACATTTTACACAGGCTCTGCCTAGTTTGGTCCTAAATTAGCCAGAGCCTGTGTCATGGTAAGCAATCTGCTGATAAACTTAATTATATATATTTCTAAATACATTACCGAACATGGGGGTTCCTCTGCCCGCCGTAGATGGCCCGAGGTACGTCGGGGCACCAGGGATTTCCTTTCTAGGGTACACCTGGTTCCCCGACTGCTGGTACCTGAGACAACGTGCGGTTTTAATCGGTTCGAGCCCGACATTGCCACCGGTCAGTGGTATCCGAGGGGATTTCGGCACAAAAAAAAAACTGGGCTATAATAGAGGTAGTCTTTTAAAAGGTTTTGCACAAAACGAGTTACAAATTAGGAATGTTATTTTATTTTTCAAATAACATCATTTTTATTAATACTGTCTTAAAAGTCTTTGTTCATACACTATATTCGTCACGTTAGATTCGAATTTAAATATTTACCCGAAACTAAACTCCTTTTGCATAGAGTAGTGTGAGCATGAAGCAGCTTTCCTAGACGAAGCGACTGAAGTACACAGTACCAGTACTAAACTAAACACAGACAGACGACAAACGGATGGAAGTGTTTGTTCTTACAAACCCTGGAGCCAAAGACACCATGTTTGGGGCACAACTCTACTAATGGAACCTACAATTCCAAATTTAAATTGAATAGTTTTGTAATTATTGTTAGTGGTGTCCCATTGAATAAATAAATTATAGTGTAAAAAAACTAATAAACACGCTTTTGTAACGGACTTAAAAGTATAAAATAATTTTCGTCGTTAATCGTAAAAAAGCGTGGGGTATTTTTCAAGATTTTTGCAATATAATAACTTTACTTTTACCAATATCTATCTATAAAATGTTTTTCAACAATTAACCTTAGTTCGTTTAGTTACAAAGGCGTGTTTTTAAGTTTTTAAACTATAATTTATTTTTACCGACTTCAAAAAAGGAGGAGGTTCTCAATTCGACTGTATTTTTTTTTTATGTTTGTTACCTCAGAACTTTTGACGAGGTGAGGTTTTTGGTTCAGTTCTGATAATGGCATCCATGAGAAAACTATATAAGTCTTAAATTTGCATTCAGTATGTTCGCGACAAACAGACGAATAACTCAATATCACGCCAACCGATTTCGATAATTCTTTTTTTATTGGAATGGATGTACTTTAAGGGTGCTTTGATGAGAGTTTGGTTAAATTCTGATCATGGGATCCATGACAAAGTAACGGAACTCTTCAATTCTTAGGAGCAAATTAACGATACTCGGCTGAATCTTTTATAGGCTAATTGAGTCACATACAGTAACGTCATTATGGTCAAGTAATTGTTGTTATCAACAGCCTTTACTAGTCCACTGCTGGACATAGGCCTCTTCTTAAAAAAGAGGTTTTGGCCTACTATACCACGATGGCCAGACGCGTTGGTATATTTTTTTCCCTTAGTCGGCGCTTACGACACCCAGGGATGAATAGGGGTGGTGACACTCTGTATTCTTAATCCGTCACCACACGCACCTATTCCTATTCGATTATAATTCGTCTCTGCCTAAATAATAAAAAGAATACTTAAACAGTTAAACACTTCATGATATCCCGGTGTTTAAGGCCAATGAAACATTTAAGTCTGTCTAGTGCTCTAAACATCTTTCACATTTATAATCACGATCTGGCAATAAATCTAGCTTTACCATTTAGTATTGTATAAGTTAGTGTTCATGCAAAACATCTAGACAATATATGGCTACAACTTAGGCTGCAACGCAATCCGCATGCTGAATATGTTCGGGGTAAAGTTTTAGAATTAACTGTATGTACAAGGGGTTGTTGGCTAGACGTTGAAGTAATTATGTTGATAGGCAAGAACAGAGCTAAAGATATTGACTAGAGAATAAAGAAGCTGGCGGTGTATTTAATTTTATAAATGTTCAGGATTTATGACTAGTTTCAGGGCGTCAAATCTCTTATTAGTTATATTCTTATTAAATTGGGCATCAGACGAGTTCACGGAGCTGTAAAATCTTCTACAAAATGTTTAATGATAAATTATTATAACTTAGTATACTTCATTGATCAATGTTTCATGAACTTGATCTGCTGTGACATCGTTACTATGTTAGTTGAACTGAATTCTGATTAGCTTTTTAAAAGATGCCAGGTAGACTAATATGAATTATACATTATATAAAATATCAGAAACCGGACGAGTACAAGTACATGGCTTGTTTCAAGCTGCTAATATGGGCAAATACTATATATATAGTTATAGTTGCGAATAAGTGAGAATAAAACCTAAATGAAAATATCCTTTCATATCATCCTTTATTTATTACACAGAAGAGTAATCCGTGGTACTCTCTCTGTGTTTACTGGCCTAGTGGCTAGTAATCCTGACTGCTATGCCAGAGGTCATGGTCTCAATTCCCAACCAGGATAAATGATGTGTGATGAGCACTATCATTTGTCTTGAGTCTGGGTGTAACTTATCTTTTTGGCCAAATTGTGGACCGTTAACACGCCTCTGGAGATATGGCCATGAGTGTGCATTCAAATCGGATTAATAGTTCCAAAGATTAACACGTATAAACAAAAACTTTTCAGATTTATTATATTACTAGCAGTACCCAGCAACGCTTCCCTGTGGCACATTGTGGTTGCAAAAAATAGCTGGAAATCATCTTTAAAGCGTGTCGTATATTGTGTCAAAATTTGAGCTCAATGCGTGCAGAACTTTTCGAGTTTTTGAATCATACACAAACAAACTTAACATTTTCCAATATTTAGATAAAATAGTACATATAATATTCCGTTGATTTCACAGTCAAGATATCATTACAACCAAATACCTAACAATCCAAACAGTACCCAACCTAAATTGGCTCAAGAATGTAGCTCAATAGTAGTAGTATTCTAATTAACGATCCGATCTCTTTCGAAAATGTATTGCAAAGTGCAGAGTCGCAGATCATTGTTTATGAGACACGGGCAAAACACATTATTGGCTCTGCCATCCTAGATATTACTTATAGAATATTATATTACCACTTGAAGGAAAAAGACTGGCTTGTATGTCTAGTTAACAGTGGTCTTGATTTCTGAGCCAGATGTCATGATTCCCGATGAGAAGGAAAATTTGTATGAAAAATTGAAACGATCATTTGTTCTGTCTCTGGTTGAAATTTATTATTAGGAATGTATTTAGTAACATAAGTGCAGCCTGGTTACCATAATAGAGGCTGTATAGTATTTAGGATCCGACAGCCGTGTAAGTAAACAAAAATTAAAATGACACAAAAATAAAATCATAAAATTAGGAATATAAAAAGTGAAGTATAAATATAAATAGAAAGTAAAAACTAATAATTATCCTCACACTCTTTTTCTAATATTTTAATAATATTTATCAAGCACTATAACTAGTACCGACTTTTTGTATTCTTCGTTATCTTCAAACGTTGTTAACAATTATGTTTAATCGCTAAACAAGATTTGAATTTAGGTGTTGGCATCCACTGACTCTGTCATTACCCTCTGTACAAACACGTACCGTAACAAATCGTTAAGGAAACATACAAATGAATCAATCTCGATCTTAATTAGCCGCGGAGCCGCCGGCGCGCGCGCACCTCAAACGCAGACGCAAGAATGCGCGTGACCGTTGCAATTAGTGGCTCCTTTGGCCGGATGTTGCTGTAGTTGATCACCTTAATTATGTAACGTCTTATTTCAAACTTACTATAAATTCAATTTAGAAATTCATTTATCGGGTCTTAAAGTTCAATTTACATTGTGTTGAAGATCCTTTAGGTTAACATTTGATTGTTATAGTATTGCAATTTCTTTGGCTAATGTCCAGGATGCCATTCCTCACCTAAATATTTGCAATCCTTTTATGTTTTGTTTGCGAAGTTGTGACACCTGTAGACGTCCATCTTTGTTTTTGATGTTATTCTACGATCATGGAATCTGTAGCAATATATCTTATATTCGTAGGTATAATGAGATTGTTTTTTAAATTTTTTGTGGACGTCTGTAGTGGTATGACCATTGTCTATATCTTTCATTGTTTTTTCATGTCTATGATAACAGAGTTCGACTTTTAAAGGTGTTGCCAGTGTAATCGAAGCCTTTTCAATTTTTACAAACCTACCTATTACTATTTTAGTACTGCTATCTCGGTCTGCTCTCGATTTGAGTACTAGCCACCGGAGCAGAGCAGAAATATGCTTATTTGCCATTAAAATGATATTAATTCTGCAAGTTAATCTTATCAGATATTTTTACAATTCGGAGATATTTTTACAAGACGTTTAAGTTTTCAATTTATGCACAAACAATATAAAACATAAATATACACGCCTGATGATCTACCGTTTCCTTCACATAAGCGCGTGCTTATAAACTTCTGAGACATATTTGTGCTGAAAAACATACTCATAAAAATCGATAATCGTTAAAAACGCAATAAAAGAACTAGCAATCTCCAATTCCGCAGACTATGCATCAGGCGCTTGAACAGTCACCAAAATCCTGCCTTTACTGAAGTTGTCCTAGACACCATGGGTTGAGCAGACCGCATTCCTAGTAAAATATGGCTAAACACAGAATTGTGTTTAATTCTGCACCTATGTCTTATCTGATATTGAATAAGTGCCCACCCAAATGTCAGTACGATTGTTTGTTTCTTGAAGGGTAACAAATACTAGGAGGGATTTTTGGGCTACTCTATGTTTTATTTGGACCTCGAACTGCTGTTATAAAGAAATATCATGCGGTTTTCGTTAGTTTTATGTAACATAGAACCTTAAAGGCGGAATTTGTACTTTATAATCATGAAATTAAGTACTGTTTACTGATGGAAAACGCTATAAGTATGACGGTCATATCTTAACTTACTTTGATAAAATGATTGAATTAATAAATAATTATGACATAACGGGCCAATTTCATATTAAACAATATAATATCTTACAAATAAGGGCCGCTAATTAAATTACAGCATATCTCGCGATCGAGTGTGGCAATAATCGTAACATGTCTTTGCTAATCAAACTTGGGGGATTCAATTAGAAGGCTGGATGACCCGACACCCTTGTTATAGACAAGATCTTTATGGCTCTGCGACCCTTCTGGAGATTGCTACGCACTGGCATTTGAAAACATTGGCGGTTGAACGCTTGAAGTTTCTTTAATTGAAGTAGAATTGTACTTATATATGCATGAATATGTCCATACGAATATGGCATTTTTGTACAGGTACTGGATACCGTACTATTTACGAAAAAATGCATTTAATTCAAACATTCCATTAAGTGTTAATTTTTGGTCTTAAAACCGTAAAACAGGTAATGGTTAGTTAGTTATTTGTAGCGCTGTGTAACTAATCTAGAACCTAAATGAAACTAATGAGTCAGAACTGCACCAGTAACACGCTATAAACGTTTATCCTTTTTTTTACATTGAAAAATCAATGTAAATTTACAGTTTTAAAACAAAATTTTTTTTTTGAGTTACAGCAGTATCAATGAAATCAAACTGAAATAAAATAAAATCAGATATTATTTGCCTCTATTATTGTGACTTTATCCTGCCTTATAGATAGAATTTCAAGGAAATTGTCCACTGTAGCTCATAAAACC